GGGGCAATATGACTAGCACACATAATATAGGGTGGGGCACAAGGAAAGCAGTATAACACAGAGAAGACAAGTAGTGGTTCTACAGCATCTTACTATGCTGATGGACACTGACTGTAATGGGGCATGTGGGGGGACTTGGAATCTAGTAACCATAATGCTGCTCATCTGATTGTTTATTAATGATACCATAATAAAAATAAATAAATAAATATACTGCCTATTAAATTATGAGAATGCATGTATTTTTAGATGAGTAAATGTATCACCATCTTAAAAATAATTAGTATAGAATGTACCCTACAAATACTAAAAATAACACAGAAGGAATAACAGGAGTTTGCAAATCACATTTTGCAACTCCTAATGAAATTATTGAATCAGGCAATGATTATCAGTCTGTGTAGAAGCATTAGGTGGATTGCTGAAAAGGAACTGGATATTCACCCGTATGTGCCATTGCTATAGCTCAGATTACTTACTGATCTTCAAGAAAAAACAGAAATTTACAATGAGGGAATCAGGATGCCAATCATCCTGATCTAGCAATCAACCTTAGCGTGACTAACAGTAGAACAACCAGAAATTGTGTCTCTTAACACGACGCAACACGAAGTGCACAGTGTTAGATCAGAAATAAAAAATGTTGAATTTGAATCTAATTTAGACTTTAGATCTAACTTAGAGTTTATAAGAAGTAACAGAATAAAGGAACAAATTAAACAACACAATGAGGATGCAAGTTGAGAAATCCATAAAGTGAGATTAAAAGAGGAGTAAGGGATAGGACAGCTAAATGTCATGTTTGGTCCTGCACTAGATCCTGGTTTGGATAAACCAGCTATTATGGATATTTTTAGGGCATTTAGGGAAATCTGAGTATGGACTGCTCTATCTGTAACCTATTTTAATGTATTTCAGCATTTTAAAAAAATTAGCTAAAAGAATACAAAGGCAGAAGAAGATAGAAAATAAAATTGTATTACTCAACTCTAATTTAAAACTCTTTCAAATGTCCTTAATTAGGTCTAACATTTTACAATGAAAGTTTTGTTTTTTTTCTTCAACTAAGACTTTAAATAGAACATGTCTATTTTCAAAGGATACACTACTTACCCCTGGCATATATTCCATAAATATTGAAAGTGTTTTTTCCTGGGGATCCCTTAAACAGCCATAATACTGAACAATTCGCTCATGTAGCAAGTTTTTCAACAACTGAATTTCACACTCAAGTGCATTTACTTCCTGAAAGACAGAACTCATGGTTAAGTTTTTACGGCATTGCTAGTACAAGCAAACAATTTCAACTTCATAGGACATCATTCTGAAATTTTTACTTTCCAAGGTATAAGTGTTTTCAAGTCTCCAAACACTAACTATTCTAAGCCATTGATGGTATGATAAAGCAGCACTAAATGAGATCGGGAATACAAGCGATACTGAAAGAGAAAATTCCCAGCACAAAGTAGGTAAACATATCTAATTATCCATGTGTTTTACAAATAATTTATGTTAAGGGAAAAAAAACAACCCTATCGTGTGTTATATTTATTTTAGTAAAAATACTTCTTGTGATGTGACAAAGCTTATACAGTGATTTTTTTACCTTGCTGGTCTCAGGGCTATCGGGGTCAAACTGAACTTGTTTAACAGCCAGTTCTCTTCCTGTATCAACATCGTAACAAAGGTAGACCCTGCCAAAGGCTCCCTGGCCAAGCAGTTTGCCCAATCTCCAGTTGGTTGGAGCACGAGGTGCTAAAAAAGAACAATTTATTAAAATGGAAAAGCCAGATGGCATACAAGTGTTTAAGGACTAAATGAGTATACTGCATTAGTGATACCCTTAATTGAATATCATTGGATATAAAGGAAAATCATGATTATCTGAATTCATAATGATCACCTTTCAAAATGTTTCTCCTCAATTCTCTAAGAATTCTAAACCCAAACAAGGTTCAATCTCCATGATGCCTTTTTCCCAGATTTTTTCCTGATTACAAATGTAATAGCATCTTGCACTCAAACTAAGATGCCACTGATTGTAAGATGTGCTGTGTTTCTAATCTTTATTGCACCAATCTATTTGCAATCACATTTCTATCTGCCTACAATGTACAAAGCTGGAAAGAACATCATTCTCATTCTAAGAGAAAATCCTAAAAGCAGTCGAGGGGAAAAATGCATACTACAGAGCAACAAAGACAGAATTATAGCAGACTTTTCCTCAGGAAGTATACAAGCCAAAAGATAATGGAGACATAGCTTTAAGGTGCTGAAAAAAAAACCAACGAGAATTCTATACCAGGAAAAAATAAATACACACACACACACACACACACACCTGCATATATTTCAAAATAAAGGAGAAATAAGGACTTTTTCAAAAAAAACCTGAAAGAATTTATTACCAGAAAAAAGAAAATATATATACATACACACACACACACACACACTTTAAAATAAAGGAGACTTTTTTCAAATGAACAAAAGCTGAAAGAATTTATTACCAGCAGACTTGATACTACAAGAAAGGGTGAAGGCAATTCTTCAAGCAGAAGAATTTGATACCTGACAGAATCTTGGAGCTACATAAATAAAGATCTAAAGAAAGAAAGAAAGAAACTGAAGGTATCTATAAAATTCATTCTTCTCTTTTTTCTAATCACTTTAAAATAAAGCTGTCTAAAGCAAAAACAGCAGCAATGTAGTGTGAGGCCATAGATATGAGAGTAAAATATATCAACACTAACAAAAAAGGGAGAAATTGGGAGTATGCAGATATTGCCACAGTAACACCTTCGAGCGTAGATTATGCATGCACTGCTTAAGTGACACAGTCCAAACACGTTACAGTCCGGCCCTAGCTACTATTCTAGTCCTAACTCCACTGTTTCAAGTAAGATAGCCTCCACTTCAGCCAAAAACAAACTATGTCCTATTTTCAGAATTGGCCATGGCCTCTTGCACGTGTCAAAAATCTAGATTAAGTGTTATTATATACACACATGTATATGTATATACATATATATAAAATATATACAAACTATATAAGAATATAGTGCAGTGTAATTTGTAATTATATAATTACAGTTATTTCTCCACACATCATTCTCCTGCACTAGACTACATCTTACAGATTCTACTTGAAATCTCAGGGTCAGGTCCTCAACAAGGATATATGAAATGAATGACTAATTGGTACCAATTTTCCTAATAAAAGTGAAGAAATGACTCGTCTACAGTAATTAGCAGTAATACCGTGCTAATATCTGACATTACAATCACCTTTAGAAGTATTATTTTTACCTCTTTTGAAAAGTTGGTCTCACCCAGAGGACTGGCTTGGCATGTACTGCTTTTAATGCTATACATGTCACTACACCGGTCCCTATTACTCACAGCGGCTGGGCGGGCTGATGTCCATCACGGTCAAAGTCGGGTTGTCTATATCGCTGCCCCTTCTTCTTACCCGACTGTCGTCATACTCTGGGGTAAACACACTACTGCCACTGCTAGTGCTTAAGGAGTGATCAGTAGGACTGAAACTCACAGGAGACCGGAAGCTGGTCCCCTGAGTCCTTCTAGCTCTTGGAAAAGTTTTACGACCTACAAAATCAGACGAGAATTGCTTTACAACCTCTTATTGATATGTTATAATTCAAAGTATTTAAAATTTATAATTAAGGAATAGAAATTTGTCCTGCAACTAGGCTAGAAACTAAAATAGCAATGATTATACTTAAGAGTAGTATTTTTTAAGAGTTCAAGGAAATATCCTTGTTAGCAATGAATCATAAAGTAAAAAATGGCAACAAAAGGAAGAAAAAAGGTGAAAGCAGAAAGGAAAAGGGGGAAAAAAGAAACAGGATCTGAATGCAAATCCAAATGATCTCATGTTAAAATAAATACACACATTCATAAAATCAAAAAACTCCAGCAAATGCTAGACAAAAAGAAAAAAATGTATTTTTTATTATCATTTCCAATAATGATTCAAAATATAAAACAAAAATTGGACAGTTTATAGGTAGCAGTTTTTTCCTTAAAAGGACAATGCAAATATGAATTGCATCAAGAAGGAATTTTCTAAGTAATTATTTTTTAATTACTCCTTTCTTCTAAGGGAAAAATAAGGATTATAAGGTAAATTGACAAAAGCCAGGATATTATTATAGTTTCAGTTTGATCCAATTTCTTTAAAAAAAATTTTAATAGGGTGTGGGTGAAATAGGTTAAGGGGATTAAGAGGCACAAAATTCCAATTATAATATAAATCAGTTATGGGGATAAAAGTACAGCACAGGGAATATAGTCAAAAATAGTATGTTTGTTGACAGATGGTAACTACATTTATTGGAGTATTTAATAAGGTGAGTAACTGTCAAATCACTTTCTATATCTGAAACCAATAAAAAATGTCTATTAACCACACTTCAATTAAAATACTTTTTTTAAGAAGGATACTAAACAATTGAGGAACAAATTTATTTCTAATGATATTATTTAAATAAGCAATTTAAAATTTTTTACTTTGATTTATTCTTTAACTGTTCTTATGGTCTAATTACCAGAAACTTACCATCATTATAGTCTTGATGGTGGTATGAAACATGATATCTTCTTGGATACGTTCCTCCTTTTCCAAATTTCTCAAAGATAGGATTATCATAGTCTACTAAAACGTGTAATAAAGTTATGTTATGAAAAAGTCGAGTATTTCTAACGATGAAAAACATCTATACATTTTAATCTGATTAAAAAAAAATTCCCTTCTCCCTCCCAAACAAAACACTATTTAATAACATAAACATTTAAACATTTAGAATGCTGATGGTCTAACCTGAAAATTCCTGATGGTTATCTGGGTAGCTCTGTGCCCTAGGCATTCGTGATTTTGGATAGCTCTCTCTAAGAGTAGAAAAGGTCATGTTAAATTTAAAAAGTATGTACATAGACATTTAAAAAGAACTTTATTCAATATCAATATCTATCTGTATGTATGTGTAGAGATACATGCACACATATAAATAAAGGAGGTCACTCTGAAATGTTTGCATAACTGGAGAAAGAGAAACTTCCTTTTAAACACTTATTTGGTATATGCAGGCAAATTGTCTTCTAAAAATAATCCACATAGTATCAGGGTAATAATAATACATTTTAAAACTATAGGTGCTTGCAAACACCTGTTTCAATCCTAGCTCTGCCACTTAATTAGTATTGCAACTGTGGCAAATCACCTTTCTGAGACTGTTTCCACATCTATAAAAAGGGGGTAATAATTTCCAAGTCATCGAGTGTGTGTGTGTATATATATATAGATAGATAGATAGACAGATATATACGGTACTCAGGACAGTGTCTTTCAAATATTAACTGTTTGATATATAGCTTTCACATTGCTATTGCCCTGAATTTCTTAAATGTTTGAAATGTCTATCTGGAGGTAGACATGGGCTCAAAGGTTTCATGTATATGGTTAACAGAAAATTACACGTATATTCCTATGTTAGTTATATTTTCAGAATTTGCTTTCATAAAGCAATCTGAGAGGAGTTAAACAGGTAAAGATTTTACTAGAGATACTGATTCTGTGTGCTACAGGTGAGAACTGTGCTACTGAGACCAGGAGTGAGGAAGCACTTGTAACAAAAATCCACAGGTGCAACTTGACCCGGCTTAAAGGGCTTATGTTCCTGAATAGCTAGCTATTTCACAAAACAAAAGTACTTAAAATTTCAATGACAATCAACATACTGGGCCACAATTACTAAGATCGTAAGTTAGTGATATTTTGATGCCAGAATGAACATATTCCTGAACAGGTGAAACAACTCAAGAAATTTCAAAACCAAACATATTAATGAAAAATTTGATACAGTTTCACCAACAGTTTTAAAAATAAAGGTATATAAATTCTAAGTTTGCATTTAGCTTCAAACACATACTTTTGACAAGCAGGGATACCCAAAATATTATAACCAGATATATTTTAACTAATGAAGATACTAAGCACCATGAGGTTAAAGGATTTGTCCAAACTGTGAAAAAATTCATTTGCCATTAAGTATACAGATGAGTATCAATTAAATCCTCTGAATGCAGCACAAGAGTTGCTAATTCAACATGCTATGTATGTGCACACTTACCCACATATATTAAAAAACAAATTATAATCAACATTACCCATCCAAAGGACTATCAAGTGATGGACAACTTCCTGAGCCAGAATTTTCAGGGCTGCTTAAAGATAATGGGTCCAGCATCTAGAAAAATAGTTTTACCATGATTCAGTGTGCTACCACCAGAAGTCACTGTTTTTTTAAAAATCAGCTTTACTGAGATATAATTCATGTAAACATAAAATCCACACCTTTCAAGTGTACAATTCAATGATTTTCATTATAGTAAGTCGTGTGACGAGCACCGCAACCTCAGAGCACTATCAGTGCCAGAGAGAAACCACAGACCCAAGAGCAGCCGCCCCCACCACAGTTACTCATTTTAGATGCTTTAAATGTAGTTGTCCCTTGGAGCTGGGCTAACTTCAAAATTTCCTAAGAGAAAAATATTCTTTCTCTATGGATTACTAGCTAAATAACTAAAAACTAAAAGATTTCACATAGTTTTGCTTACTGAAAATTGAAGAATGGCCCCAGCCAAACTGACACCGTGACACTGACCCCACCACTAACGACACTGTGACCGCCACATTATGAGGAAATGTAAACTACAGTAGTACAAGCAGCCAGCGTAATGTTGAAGAGACAAGAGCAAATCCGTGAAAATACTTCAACACTACAGAGTTTTCAAAAACATTTTAATATGTCTTAGACAGCTGACAAACATCAGCTTCACAAAGTTAAACATTTATAATTTTGCTGTAGTTTTCAAATGTCACAAATCTGAGTGTTAATCCCAGGATTATAAACAAATGCATTCAATCACTTATGGATGGACAATAAAAGATTGTTCTGGCTTTGTTTATACATGAATGCACATGGGCACATGTAAATTAGTGGACATTTTCCTGTATTTTTTGTTTTGTTCAGTTATAAAGGAAAATACGGGATTGGAGAAGAGGTAAAACACACATACATGCGCACGCGCATCCACACGCTGCCACCACCACCACCCACACCCTCAGATACCTGCCAAACCACAATGACCCTGACAAGCATCCCTTTAAATGAATGAAAAACCACGTCCAACTTTGCTTACCTGGTCCATGCTCTCAGGAATGAACTCTCCCTCACTGTTGATGCTGGTGAAGGACCCATTCCGGGCCACCTGGTGTAATTCATCTGGAATGTATCCTGGGGGAGGGGAGCTTCTATCTCTACTAGTGGGACCTCAAAGGAGAAAAACGATGAATTTATAAATATCCACAGGGAAACAATTTTTATTTTATTAAACATACACACAGAATTTCTGGGCTATGGTACCAATAGTTTTAGAAAATCCAGTATTTATTACAACTTAGCAGAACATTCATGTCTGTACAACTTTAAATGTTTTTATACCTTCCTAAACTCCCACCATATTGTAATTATTAACCTCACTGTAATATTCTTACATTCTGTGTTAGGTTCTTCTGACTGCTGACAACTACATTATAGGGTTAATAATACAATAAAGATTTTTAACTAAATGCCACTGCTTTTGAACTTCAGAGATCACTTGTACCCAGGTATATGTTGCCCTTTAACATAACTTATGGAAGGCATCATGACGTAGTGAAAAGAATATGGGCTTTAAAGTCAGGTCTCAGTTTATTCAGTACTCAGTTTGATTTAAAATGCATTTAAAGCGTCAATTTAACTAGTGCACTTAGCTTGTTCTGCCTAATGCAACTATAGTAAACTGCCAAATTTTTACTTTAAAATGATAGGTACTATAATGTGATAAGAAAAGGGAATAAATTAAGAAATGTATGATTAGTAATAGTCATGCTTTCTAGTTTGAAAAGTAAAAGGTACTTTAAAATTTTCCTTTCAATTTATTGGCTACAATAATCCCATGATTTCAAGATGAACAAAGTTAGTCTCGCTCAGGTTAAGTAGAGAGCTGGAATCTGAATTCAGGAGTCCCTGAGATAAATTGCATGTAATACAGAAACTGGCTACCATTTATCATGATCATGTCACTCTACATTAAAGGATGGAGAAAAAACTGAGAAATCACCCATTTCATAATTCAGACACAAATTCTTACCTATTATAGAGAGCCGTTTTTTCCTCTCTGCTCCAAATACTGTGTTATCCAAATCTTCGAGTGATGGCAACAGTTCTAAATTAGTGGCCTACAAAGGAAAAAGGATGACTGACGCTATTCTTCTTAAGGGCTGCAAACAGAATCTTCTCCCCTAACATGTAAACCTAGATATTCTTTATTGTTTGTGGGTTTGATCAAATCTCCTCTTAGAAATTTTAGTTCTAAGACTTCTTCCCAGGTCTCAATTTCTATATGTCTCATATACACAGTACATTATACTTATTTGTAATTTGGACTCTATAGTTTTGAGAAGCACGGATATTCAACTATATAGCAATTACAATGTCTAAGTTTATATTTAATCATATTGACAATATATCAATGATTACAGAATGTACTATATTTAACACACTGACTTTTAAAGGCATAAATTCTATAACCCCTATTGAAAAAAATCCCAGTTCATACCTGTGTACTTCCATTTATTACAAGTAATATCTTGAGGCTCTTCATATGGATACTACGGTCCAGCAGTTCGACAGCTTTGTCCAAGTCATCTTGGGTAGTTAATGGAATTACCAACTGAACAAAAAGGAGCATAATGAATCTATAGCCATCTCACCAAGCCAACTCCATCCAGGAGCGACTCCATTACTACAGAATTATAAATCTCAAAATACCTTGCTCTTTAATTTGTGAGTAAATGAAGTTCTGAATGAATATCTGTAGGTTATTTTGCTCTTCCCATCCTACCGCCACTAAAATCATAGAATATGGAGAATTTTTTTTGCTTTATTAATCATTAAATTCTTCTAGAAGACATATTCAAATATTTCAAATTGATTTTCTAGGACATCTGCATAATATTGCTAAACTTAAGTTACAGTATCTTCATGCCAAAACAGCATTAAGGAGCACACACAAGCATTTAAAACAAAAGTACTATCTTCCATTTGCACTGATGACCTTTTTAGCTTTTTTTCATTAGTAGCCATAGATCTGCACTCTCTCCCATGTGCTTATCAACATACTAAATGCATGAGCACCTGTGGCAGCTGCCAGGGAGGGTGCCAGTAGTAATGGACCCGCAATCTAGAACCCACCTAGGGCTCCTCTCTCTGACCCTGGTGACTTGACTTCTACTTCTACACCCTAAAACAAGTAAGCTAAATGGGCCAGCCATCCTATAGTAAACCCTGAGTGTGGAAATTTGCTTTCATTAATCTTCTCATGAATCAAACATGAGGACAAAAGCACCTGAGAGGTATATGAGAGAAAGCATGCTTCACACAACTTGATTAAGAAAATAAAAGTCTTTTTTTAATGTAAACTTAGCAGCTTAAGATGATTCTATCAATAGTCTTCAGGGTATATTCCATTTCATTGAAAGAAAAAGTAAACAAATTCCACACCTGTGAGCCTGTATATAAACTGCTCGAATATAAAGGCCTAGCTAGTTTGGGGTCCTCTACAGTATAAATTCCTTGATGACAAGGAACACCCCCCACCCCGCCCACAATAGTAATTAACAGAGTACAGCAAGGAGCAAACATTTGATAATTGTTTTTAATAAGTAACAGGATGAGAGCTTCATCTGCACCAAGCCCACTAGCTGTACATTCCCTGTTCTCAGAAAGGCTCAGACACAAATATAAAGCAGGACTAATGTGAATCCCATCATACAATCTGCTTATATTTACTTACCCTGGACTTGAAATTACAGCCCCAATTTCTCTCTGTAGATAATTTCCCATACTACTACAACTTATCTACTAACCAGGCCTTTTTGTCTATGAGAATTTTTTAATAAGAATAAAAAAGAATTTTAATTGTTTGGTATCATAGAACAAGCCTGACCTACTTAATTCTTTTCATTTCCTATCAATTATGAATATTAGCACATCTTGTTACATCTTATCTTTTTTTCATTATATTTTAAGCAATACAGAACATTTTAAAGCAATGATGGGAACTGTTTTCCAATTTTTCATTTGAGGAGAAAACCTGAATATTTACTTTTACTATACATTTATTAATAACTGGATTGTTTACTTCTGTTGCTAGATACTACATACTGTTGCTTTTGGAGGAAAAGACACTAGTTTAAATCACAGTAACAAAATACTAACATAATGATTCTGCTCTTTTTCAGTTAGCTAATATGAAATCTGGACGCTCCGGAGAGGCAGGCTGGATTACTACCTAGTGGTTCCTATGTGATGATCCCTCTTATGTTTTAAGGTCACCTATTCCAAATTTTAAGATGAGGACTAAGAATCAAGAACAAGTCCCAGTCTTTCTAAATTATACTAAATAAATCACATAACGTTTTCCTGCTTATTGAATTCATTTCAGCTTCATTCATAAATCTATTTCCCTCTGGCTTATTATTGATAAATCAGTTGTATGTTAACATAATCCTTTCTGGAAAGGAAGCTAAAAATTGAGTTCAAAACCCACTAAATAGAACCTAAGTTTAAAGGAAGTGACTTATCTTCCTGACTTTACATAGTGAAACATGAAAATAGCCCATAAAGAGGCCTTCCCCTTTTAACCATCTGAAGTGGGAACGATCTTAGAAAACCTGCTTAGATTGCTTGCACATCCCCAAATCTATCCCCCATGACAACACACAGACACACATACCCTGACACCATATTAGACACACAGGAGCACAACTAACAAATCCAACCAACCCCAGATTAAATTTCATGGTCATTTCAATTCTGGCAAATTGCAAGTTTACAGAATAATGTTTCTTTTAGAACAGAGAGATTTATATTACACTAGAAAAAAATTATAGAACTGGATTAACAAAGTACTATAAGAAAGTTTTTTTTGTCCACAGGTCCACAAAACTAACAACCCTTGAAGTTTTTTCCTAGCATGCCCAGTGTCCGAGGGCATGCACTGGGTCTGTCATCATGTGAATCAGGACATGGTTAACTCACAGAATCTGGGTTACAAGAAATTTTAAACATCATCATCTGACCCTAATGCTCCCTCTACTATATTCCTGCCAAGAGAACACCCAGATATAATGGCAGAGCCACTCCCAGAAATCCTTCAGAAAGCATGAAAGAAAAACACTGAAAACTGAGAAATTTTTCATTTTTAGAAAATAGGAGAGAGCTCCTGAAACTACAGATCAGTTAGCTTGATATCAATCCTGAAGAAAACCCTAGAAAAAATTATATCAAGTATTATATAAACAAATTGGGAGGACTCAGAAAAGAAACAGCAATTGTAGGAGCTGGAATAGGTAGAGTATGAACAAAACATGTCAGACTAAACTCATTTTTCTTGATAGACCTACTAGACTGGCAGATTAAGACAAAATTGTAGTCTTAATGTATCTTGGCATTTGAAAGCTTTCCATCACACAATTTCAGACCAAACATAAAGAAAGATATATCTGGGTTCCCTTAGAATCATACCACGAGGTAAAGATCCAAGTCCAAGTGCTTCTATATGGAAAGATACAGCCGACACTGGTAGGCGGATGAGGAGAAGGAGGAAGAGGGGCCCGTGCAGGGTGTGTTATCCAGCAGTCACTCGGTAAGTGGGCCCATCCATTCCCACCTCCCACCCCATCCCTGAGGCTCATCTCATGACCCACCCCTCACCCCACCCTGTTTCCATAGTACCATCTAAACAGGACACCTACTGCCCTCGCCTTTGTTCTTTATCACAATACTCTATCCATTTCCTTCAAAGAACTTCATATATTTACATCATCCATTAGTTTACTGTCTATAAACTCCACAAGGGGCTGTAATTCATAAATCACAGCATTCTGCCTGGCAAATTAAACAACAACAAAAAAAGAACAAACTGACAACTGATAAAACTGTCCCTGAAAATTTTAAGATCTTAGTAGCTTGAGATCTCATAGGATCTGAAAGAAACCTCAGAGATCATCTAACCCAATCTGAATTTTACAAGAGGTTCAAAACGGGTTTCCTCAGAACACAGAGCTCCTCAGTAACTGAGCAAGCTCCTAAGATCACATGTACTGAACTCCTGAACATAAACATAATGAGCTGATCATGTCCTAACCACCAAGAAAACAATTCCCTAAGTTTAAACTAAACTGGCAAAGCTCTACTGTCTCTGCAGTCATGTGTGGAATGTGAGGGAAAAAGTTCATCGGGAAGTACACAGAGTAAAAATACAGCACAAATAAAGAGCAAACTTCCATGTAATACATATTTCCTCCTTTAATAGTTTCTCATTCAATTATTTGTACAGTAGCACCTTCTAATATTTTCCACAATGGAAAAAATCCACTTTAATCGGTTATAATTAACAAATTTACTTGTGATACCTTAATTCCTCTCACATACCATATCCTTATCAATCCCTAAATATAGGCACAACAGTCCAAAATAATCTCTGGCATGAACACACTACTTTCCAAAATAAAAACTACTAAAGTTAGACTGTACACATTTACCTCATTATTGGTATAATGTAGATCCATAGACTGTCCAAAGGCAATTTTAGCTTTAGACCTCAGGTCTTCCAGTTTAACTGGTCTAGGAAACTGAAGGATTCTATACAGACAGAATTTTAAGATATTTTATTTTCTTAGGTATAATTAAATGACATAGATGCAACAGTTATCTCTTGGGTAGAAAAATACAAAATTAAGTAACAACGTAAACGTGTACTTGTACTTGAACACTATAATGGCTCTTTTTTGATCAGATACAGTAATTCTCAACACGAAGTTCAAAAACTCTCAAGTTTGTTCTAGACTAATAAAAATTCTAAGAGGGAAGTTCTCAAAACATTCTGCAGTTTATAATTTGCACTGAAACTGTTATATGAAAGAGCAATGCAAAATATTCATTAAAGAAAATGACTGAACTTAATTATGTGACATCCATACAATGGAATGCTATGAAAACTATTAAAAAGAATATAAAGTTGTTCTTTGGAGGTTCATGTTTTTATTTCTGTACCCTTATCAATTCAATCAATGCTTCTGAGCACATATATACCATGTAAGCATCCCTCCGAAATAAGTATGTTTAAATCTAGTAGTTTCTTCCTATCACAATGGGTTGGCCTATGCTGCCCTGGGGAGCATTATTCTGAACTTGGAAACTACTAGACCAGACTATAAGCTCTGTAAGAGGAGGGATCATGTCTGTTTCACTCACTTTATCCTTTTTGGCCCAGCATATAGTAAGTACTGAATAAACAGTGTCAACAAATGAAAAAAAAAATGAGAAAATATCCATAAAGAACTTGTAAATAGGGAAAAAGTGGATTGGAAAACAAATTATATCTGGTATATCTCATTTTTGTTAATATCTCTGAGTAAAACATTTTTACATTTTCAGGTTATATAATCTTCAAGCCTGATTTTTAAAGTCCTTAATGGACAGATCTTCCATTAAATTAATGAGACACTAATTACAGAAATGAAATCACTTTTTCTCTAACTCCTATTAGGCTTGTTAGCAATTCTGCTGGCAGCTGCCATGACCACCACCACCTCCACCAGTGCACTGAGACACAGGTACCCCTGGAAGGCTATGCTTACACCTCTGCTAAATTACCTACAGCCACCACTCCAACTCACCTTCCTCACTGCTACTAATCAAATACATGTTATATGATTGAGGTATCTCGACAATAATCAAAAATTGTGTATGTTAAATCCACATACCATCAATTTTGTACAGTATCTCAAGGAGATATTATAAGGAGAAATATATTTAATTTCCAAAAGTAAAAATAGAAGAAAATTGTAATATTTAAAGGCTGTATTATACAATACTGCAAAGTAAAAAACATTAACCATTTCAAATACTTAGCCTGCTCTTTCAAGGGTATTTTATCTTAAGTCTACGTACATGTCACACATTACCAAGGTCTATTCCATTCTCAATTTGCAAGCCATGAACTTTCATTTAAATCTAGGAAAAAAACCTCTCATGTCTTTAACTAGGACACACACTTGATTAAACCAATAAATTGACATGTAATGTTTCTTTCCTTACCTTTTTTCTCCTCTATGTTCAAATTTGACTCTGACATCATTCTGTAATGAAATGATAAATCATTTCAGAGATCAGGTAAAATTTTTAGAATTTCTAAATCACTTTTTCTTAGTCATTCACCTAAAACAGAGCAGGGGAGAAGGAGGCTTCATTTTCAGTGTGAACTCCAATCAATTAATAGTGCCTGACAAAGAGCTGAGTTGAGAATTATGGTGCTGAATTTGGGCTCAACAGGAAAGAGCACCAGAAAGGCATCTGGGTATGAGACATTTGCTAATCCTGTTAGAGGGAAATACAGAACACTGTATTTTCATTTTTCATGTTGGACAGCCAAATAAGTTTTTAAAAATCAAAATGATCCTTATTTGTAAATATACTGAATAAATTATTTTAAATAGAAACAATTTGCTTATCTTAAGTGCTTTAAGAATGGATGAAGTATCAGCTTTAGAAAACAGCAAATGAAATGAAATGCTACCTTTTTTAATGCCCTTATTAAAAAAATTACGACAGACACCAGTATCTGATTCTAAAGTGTAACAGACACTTTAAACAAACCCTCTACAGTATCAGTGTATTCAAGAAAAGTAATTCATAGAACTATATATGTTAAAATATTATTGAAACAAATACCTGCTTTTTTGGTGATGAAGATTTTGTTTTTCTGGTTTCCTGTAAGGATAATGCTGGACGACTGGCTTTATGAAGAACAGCCAAATCTTGCATAATTGAATTCAAAGCTTGTTGATCATCTAGGTATTTAAAAAATAACATATACACAGAATTGTAATTTCAGTATTTATTTACCAGACATCAAACACAAAATTTACAATGAAATTCAATGCAAATGTATTCATTTAATGCAAAAAAGTGCATCCAGAACATTTCAATGCCTTAACTTCTGTTATTCTGTTGAAATAAAATTACTTAAAAAGTGAAGACAAGTAATCTTAGAATTACACTAGACTGAAGCACTAGCCTCATGCCAGGTGTCCACACGAGACATTTAAGGCAAGAGAAAAGCGTTCTGACTCGTTCCAACAATGCAGCATCACAGGATATGGGTCAATACAGCCCTGTGTTGACATTCTTCTCTATGACTCCTAAACAACATCAACAAGTTATCTAAAATCTTAAAGTAGGAGGAAAAAAACAACTTTCTATAAATATCATCACTATTTAGCATTTATGTTCAAAGTACAGAATTCCTTTTAGAGTTTTTCTTTCATCAGTACTTCAAGTCAGAAACAAAAAGTTTTATCTGTAGATAATGGCCTACTGATACTTAGAAGTGTTTTCTTGAACTTTCTTCACCTAAGGTTCAACAAGAGTACAAACATTTAACAGACCAGTTAAATGATAACAATGCAAGAAAAACTCATTACTTAGAAAAAAGTACTGAATCCATAAAACTAAGTGAAAGGGTCATGAACCATGAGTTTTTAAAATCTCTTCCAAATACATCACACATTTTCTAAGACTGTAAGACCTCTTAGTAATGCCAAGTACATGTTCTCTGGGAAACTTCAGAGACAATTTAAATTATTTTTACTAGTAAACCAATTCTACTAATGATAATCTATAATTGGTTAAAAAAAGGAATTGAAGGACTTCATAGCTTACATTTTAAAACATAACCATTTTGGTGTGCAATAATTTATCTCTCAGGATAGTAATAATTAAAACATGCTTTATCTTGTAAGAGCATCATTAAAAATAATGTGTCAACTCAATGGCTTCATGAGTCTTTCAAAAACATAGTTGACTTCTCTAATGTATGAATTTTTTATTAACACATTATGTATTAACAATCAATCTCTGCAGTGAAACTCTTTGCATATTAAAATTAAAATTAATGGCTCCCAGGGTTTTATTAATTAATTCCGGGTTTAGAAAAACTTTAATAGTCCTTCACAAAGTATCCTTTGTAAGATAAAATTTCATCATGTCAGCTTAGCCAAACAGCAACTGAGCCAGTCAGGTATAATGTAATCACAACAGATGTGCTGGCCATGGGTCACAACCAGACTGTCATTTATTGGTAAAAATAAATCTTCCCTTAGGAAGAGAGAGAATAAGCTGAGAATGATTCAACTGTAATACAGTTAATCTGGTGTAAACCTCTTAAGAAAGGTAAGATCCTTAATTCTACAAGGGGGAGAAGGGAACTCCAGTACTTAAATATATCTATGTTCAAAGAATACTTGAATTTAGACATTTCCACGTGTTTAATATCAGAACGCCAAAGAAAAATTAATTCCTGGGAAGGATTTGGCTTAGATCTGTTGCCATATTTACATATACTGATTTCTTCATTAAAATAAAAGTACCTGGAGAGATGGGTGAACAGATGAAGGAAAAATATTTAGAATATTTGATATCTTGATCTGGGTGGTGACTACATGAGTGTATAAATGTCAAAATTCACCAAGCTGTACACTAAGATTTGTGCATGTTATGTACCTCAATATAAAAAAAATTTTTTTAATTCAAAACAAAAGACCTTGCCCTGTTCCTACTCTTCCCATCTAGAAAAAAAAAATCCTAGAAAGCAACGAAATTTTGACAATTTTAACTTATAAATTATCATATCAAAATTATAAATCAGTTTGAATTCAAATTAATTCCTCCCTCCTTTTCATGGTGGATAGTGAAATTTAAAATGAAAAATATGTTTTCTATAGTAGATATAAAAAAGAGGATCATTTGAATAAAAGTAACTTAGATAACATACAAATCAAGTGCAACGTAATCGAGTTCTTTCTTTTTCTGCCTTAGAGAAGAATCACGTGATACATAAGTACCCAATAAGAAACTTACTTTGAAGAGGCTAACAAGATGTAAGCTAACAAATCCACACCAAAGTGGTGAAAGTACTTGGACTATAATATAAGCACTGCTCTGATCACTCTTAAGACTATTTCACTCTACTAAGAAATTACATGGCGGCTATACATACTAGGCAGATTAGACAGGCTCCTAAATTGACCCAACAGGCAGTGAGAATACCTAGAGGAGCCCAGTCCGACCAACAGTCACAAAGCAGCAGCAGTGGGCTTCTGACACAAGTCCAAAGGACATTTAATTGAGCACAAAAACACAAAGTATTTGGAAATGAATTCAAATAAAATCTTCCATCAGAAATATTTAGCTACCATGCCATGCTTATTCATCATACTTGAAAACAGAATATCCTCAATCAAAAATTCACAAGTATCTGTGATTCACACTTTCAAACATCCATACGTATTTGTATATGTATTCAAGCAAGGGCTGTTCTTTGCTTTCTTGGGAAGTATTATTTGAGAAATATGGTAGAAATACATCTGATTAAGGAACAGCTCATATTGCAAGTGAGAGCAACTAAAATGAAAAAGAAACTCAGAGCACTTCCGGAAAAACATGCAATTTGGAACTGGAGGTGAAGCTGATGAGAGTGGAGAATCTGGGCCACATGATGGCACTGCAGTTAAGGTTACAAAAAGGGAAAGTGGAAATTTTAAAAACAGTAAGGTGGAGCTTTGGATTATACACTTTCCACAAGTAGCCACTGAAAGTGTGCTAGCCCTTCCACTAAAGAACATGGACAAACTTAAGCTCTTTGGCTTGTAAAGTCATATATATCCATATAAAAGGAAATAATACAATCTGTTAAGCAAATGGTAAGAAAAAGTGTGATGACAATATTTTGACATGGGTACATTACAGTTAAGATACCGGGATCAGTCTAAGTTTAAAAACTTTGCTTTAAATTCAACTACTCAGTCCATTTTTTCCCCGATTTAGGATAAGGCAGGCCATTTGCTCCATTTCTTTCTAGTGTTTCCCTGTCTCACACTGAAACCCTCAACCCCAAGGTGAAAAGGGGAAAAAAAGGAAGTAAAAAAGAAAACAAAATGATATGTAAAATGAATAGCCACAATCCATTCCCATATTTAGCCTTTCTTTCCATTAACATTCACAAGAGTTCTAATATATCCATCCGCTCTGAGAATCAATGATTTGCGACACTATTATAAAAGTTTGTTTTATGCTGCTATTTTCTTTAGGCCATCTATATTATTATACTGTTAGGTATAATATATATACCTAACAATTTCATTCGTCAGCATTTATTCAATTTTTTAAAATCAGGTTTTTTATCTAGTATTCCCTCGCCATCAGACTCCAAGAATCACAATCCATCTTTACTTTTTTTTTTTCCTTCACACAATTCAC